AAAAAAAAAAAAAAAAAAAAAAAAAAAAAGGGGGGTGGGGGTATGGGGCTGTGACTGAGATGGCAAGGGTGGAAAGGGCCGAGAGGGTATGCTGGCCTTCATCTCTGAGTTCACATGTGAGTATGTGATTCTCAAGGCCAAAGCCACAAAGTACATCAACCCAGAAGGTATGGCATAGATTGTGCTTCCCTCTACGAGGAGGGGAGAAACTGAAACTACATCCCGGAGCTCAGAAGCCCTGGGCGTACAAGCTTTGCCAGATGGTCTGGATGATGAGCACCTTCAAGTGTCCCTTTGGCACCGGCCTTGAATAATTTGGACACTCACAAGGCGGTACAGCTGGGGACGCTGGAGTCTCTTCTGTGGGCTGACAGTCATCCACAGCATTTGAATTGGCACAAACAGAACTTGGGCTCGGGGCTGTAGCTCACTTGGCAGAGTGCTTGCCTAGCATGGACCAGGCCCTGGGTTCCAGGGGGCATGGTGGTGCATGCTTTAATCCAAGTGCAGTCTGGAGGGTATGAAATTCAGTGTCAGCCATGGCTGCATAGTTTGAGGTCAACTTGGGGTACATGAGACCCCATTTCCCAAAGTGGGAGGAGTGGTAATTGTGGGGAACTAGAGAGATTGCTTAGCAAATAAAAGCACTTGCTGAGCAGGCCTGGTGCCTTAAATTCAATCCCCAAAACCCATGTAAAAGGCAGAGGGAGAGAGCCAACTCCACAATGTTGACACAGGTACCATGGCATGATTACACATTACCCACATACATATCACACACACACACACACCACATCACATCACATCACATACATACCTTCATAAATAAAAATCATTTTCAAAAACCAAAAAACTTTGTGTGGTGGCATATTCCTGTAATCCCAGCACTTGAGAGGTAGAGACAGGCCAGCCTGGGCTACATGCTGGGTGTGGTGATACACATCTTTAACCACTAACACTGAGGAGACAGAAACAGGTGGATTTGTGTGAATTCTAGGCTAGCCTAGTTTACATAGCAAGTTCCAGGACAGCCAGATGTATATAACAGAGAGATCTAGTCTCAAAACAAAAACAAAAACAAAAACAAACAAACAAAAAAAAACCCAAACTAACAAAATTAGAGGGATAGAGAGAAGGCTCAGTGGTTAAGGATACTTCCTGCTCTTGCAGAAAACCCAGCTTTGGTTCCCAGCACCCATGTCTGGTAGCTCACAACCATGTGTAACTCCAATTTCAGAAGCTCTAATGCTATCTTCCAGCCTTCACAAGCACCTGCATGTGCCTTGCACACATGGACACACTCAAGCACACATATATAAAAATATTTTAAATGTATTTTTTATTTTAATTAAAATGTAATTACTTAATCTTTCCCCTTCCTGTTCCTCTCTCCAATTCCTCCCATGTTCTCTCCTCACTCCCTCTCAAATTAATAGCTTTTTTCCTTGACTTTATTGTCACACACACATACACACACACACACACACACACACACACACACACACACACACAATCTGCTGAGTCCCTTTCGGTTGCTTGTGTGTATATAGTTATAGTTTCGGGGCTGACTGTTTGGTATTGGTTAAGTAATTAAGGGGCTCATCCCTGGGAAAGACTAATTCTTCCTCTCCCAGCGGTCCTCAGGGGCCAGCAGTTCTTTGACTAGAGGTGGTGCTCCTGGTGGGCGTTCCCTCGGTGTTGTTATTGTTCAGATCTTGTTTAGGCAGCCATAATTGCTGAGGTGCCACAGGTGAAGTTTCCCTGTCATTTCTAGGAGACACACTCTCACATTGGACTTCCTGTTCCTCTGGTTCCTACAGTCTTTCTGCCCCTCTTCCAGATGTTCCCTGAACCTTAGATGCAGGAGGTGTATTGTAGCTGTATCCTTTGGGGCTGGGCTCACCAGCATCAATCAATCTTTGCATTGTCATCAGTGTGGTTTTCTGTAGCATCAAATTTCTTTAGAAAAAAAAAAATCAAAAGATTGCCAGTCATGTGGTGTACACCTTTAACACCAGCACTCAGGAAGCAGAGGCAGGAGGATCTCTGTGAGTTCAAGGCTAGCCTGGTCTACATAGTGAATTCTAAGCTAGTCAGAGATACATAATGAAACCTGTCTCAAAAAAAGAAAACAGAAAGTTGAAACATGCCCCAAATAGCAGATCTGGGTGTGGTTTAGTGGAAGAGCACCTGCTAACATGCAGATGAGATTCTAGATTCACTCCTCAGGAAGGAAAAAATACAATTAGTATAATGCGCCCTCAACCAGCTGGAGCAATCAACCCGTGGCTTACCATTCAGCAGAATGCTAATGCTGCGTTTCGCCTAGTGTCCGCCAAACTCATTTAACCATAATACCTTTTCCAGCTACCTCCAAATAAAGAGAGAAAAAAAAAAATCCCTGTCTGCTTATGTAGTGAAGGGCTGTGCTCCAAAATGCAGACAGGAACCACCATAGGCTCCCTGCCTCCAGGAGTTCCCCGCCTGAGACAGAGGGAGAGGAGGAAGCATCCAGACAGGCCACCGCTTTGATGGAGGAACTGGGTGTGTGCTGGCAGGGAGGGAGAGCACTTGGCATGCCCATGAGCCCCAGGCAGGGGAAGATACAACCACGGGCCACATGAACTAAACCACCTAGCTGGCCCAAGAGAGGAAGAAGGACGGGCAGGGAGGAGACAGGTGAGAGCAGCAGGGCGGTTAGTCATCAGGCATCCATGGGTAGGTGTGTCACCTAGAGTTCCCCCGGAAACTGCCCGTCTGTGAGCCATAGTTGGGGAGCTGAGTGACTAGAGTTGGGGCTGGGCTTTCATCAGATCTTGGGACTTGCTTCTCGGACCTGTTTGTGAAGGGACCTGTGGTCAAGGCTTTGCCCCTCATTGACTCGGTGGAGCTGGTTGAGTGCACAGGGCTGGGAGGGATGTACTGAGATCCGTGAGGTGGGTGTGTCAGGCCCGCCCAGGAGCAGGTCCTACCAGCCCAGCTCAGCCCAGCCCAGAGTGTCAGCGGAAGCCGTCTTGGGGCAGCGGCAGAGGAAGAGCCACAGAGCACAGGTATGGGGGTGTGACGTGTGGGGCTGCCGCCAGAAATTCAGGACACTGGTGAGGATGGAGAGTATGGGTGGGCCATAGGCTCCCGGGAACGCTTTTGGATAAAGTGAAAAGGAAAACAGGGCTGCCCCCTGGGGAGAGATCTTTCCTTAGGGAGCCTGAAGAGGCAGCCAACATGCCTGGCACACCCGAAGGTCTGAAGCCCCACTGTGGGCCACCTTAGGGTCTTCCTCTAAAGCTTTAGGCTCCTGCTCTCATGCTGAGCCTGAGCTCTCTCAGGAGAGCTCTGAGATCTGCTCCCCTCACATCCACTCACCTGCAGGGCCAGGTCCTAACCTGGAAGACACTGAGCCGAACTGATAAAAGTTGGCTAACGAGCTGATTGGGAAAGATAGCCCTCTCTGGCCACCGAGGTGTGCTTTGTTTGGTTATTTGGTGCTGGGGATGGGATGAGTATAAGTTAAGTATGGCCTGATCCCTCTCCCTCTCCCTCTGGAGTTCCGGGATTACAGCCATGGACCACCACACCAGATTTCTGCATGTGCTGGTGGTTGAACCCAGAGCAGACTAGGCAAGCACTCCGCCGCCTGAGCTACATCCCCAGGCTCCTGGCCCTTTGGGGGATGAAATCTCATGCTTTCTAGGATGGGTTTCAACTCCTAACCTCAAATGACCCCCATCCTATGAGCTTTCCCGCTAGTTGGAACTACATGAGTGTGCCGCGATGCTCAGATCTACTGAATTTAGTTTTTGCTGTGCCAGAGATTAAGCCCAGAGCCTGTGAATGCTGGAAGTCTTTCTGCCACTGAGCTACCCCAGCCATCCCAGTTATATTTCAGTGGGTCTTGAGGAAGCGCCACCCCTGCCTGGGATGCTGTAATAGAAGGGTGTTGGGCTGTGCGGTCTCTCTGTCCCCAAGGCTGTGACAGAATACGGCTCATGAGTAGCATAAAGGGGGTCGGGGGACGAGCCATTGCGCATGTGGGGGAACCTGTGGAAGGCTGCCTGGGACCTTTGCCATACTTGTGTGCAGGCCACTGCCTGCCTACTGCCTATGGTTTTGGGGGCTCAGTGACAAGAAAGGGACTCACAGACTCGTACTTCCAGAACGCTTCATTTATGGTAAACTGAAGTCATAGCCCTGGGGGAAATGGAGGCAAGGAATGTGACAGTGAACCTCACCTCCCAAACAACCAGAGACACTAGAGGCCAGCTCAGTCTGTGCTGGCTGAAGCCACCAGCTCTCCCCGCCCTACTCCTCCCAGTATGCACCCCACTGACACAGAGACCTTTTATGTCCAAGGTCATAATAACAAAATAATAATAATAATTACTACTAATAATAAATAAAATAATAATTATACGCCAAGGAGGAGACAACAGAAGAGGGGAGAGTTGATGGGAATATCGGTGTAGCTGGGAAGCAAAGCGCTGGCCTCGTGTGCACAAGGCCCTGGGTTCATCCCCAGCATCAAAAACAAAGGGTGTGGGCCTCTGAGGCCAGTGGTATAATGGAAGTTCAGAGTAAGGTCAGCCAGCCTAAAAGGCTCCAGGAGGTTGTTCAGAAGAGGCAGGACCTGTCGGGCCTGAAGCGAGGGTAAAACACACACCGGGCACAGGTCAGCGTGGGGCTGAGCCTATGGCAGTGACTTTTGGGGGGTTGGGACTTTCTTTCCTGTTTTTCTAGCTTTGGAAGGTCGGGTAGAGGGAGAGGCGGATAAGCTGTCATCCACACATCAGGGACATGAATTACTGAGCTCTGGGCCACCTTTGACTTCTGTTTTTCCCAGAAAAACATTGTGAAGGATGGTCATATTCCCCACACTCTGGAGCCTGAAGCAGGAGAATTGTCATGAATTCCAAGTCAGCCAGAGATATGTTGTGAGGTCTATCTCAAGGAGGAAGGAGGAAAGGGTTGAGGAAGGGGAACCCACTGAGGAGAGCTGGACACGGGCAGGGAGGGAGTGCGCTGTGCCAGGGAGGGAGACTGAGGCTGTTGATGATGATGATGATGACGACGAGGATGATGTTGGAAGGGCTTTGGTGGAGAGAGGACAAGCTGGGCAGCCTTGGGCAATGAGAAGACAGGACCCTGAGGACGAGGCAGGACCCCTGAGCCTGAAGTCAAGGGATGGTATCTCTGTGACCTGGGCCACAGGAGGCCTCTTCTCTCTTTCTGGTGACCCCAGACTCTATCTCCTTCTAGGCTGGGTGACCTCACCTTGAACTCCCCAAACCACAGCCCTTCTCATCTTTTCCCTGGCCCTCGGTCTCAGGAGAAGCTGACTGGCAGGATTAGCCTGTGCCCAGGAAGGGCTGGAAGACACCTTTGAGTTTAGCTTTGTTTTGAGAGCAAGTCTTACCGTGTAATTCTGCTGCCCTGAACTCACCGTGTAGAAAAGTGTGCACACCCCAGTGGACAGAGTTTCCTTGCCTGGTCTGACCTGGCCATGTAGACCAGGCCTGGGACTTGGGGTGATCTTCCTAAAAGTTGCACACCCCGGTGGACAGAGTTTCCTTGCCTGCTCTGACCTGGCCATGTAGACCAGGCCTGGGACTTGTGCTCATGTTCCGGCTTTCTGCCTCCCAAGTACTGGCATCACAGGTGTATACCTGCACACCTGAGACTGGGGCAGAACTAACACTCTAAGCTAGAGTTCTCAGCATGCCCAGGGGCTCCGTGGGGAGCTTAGTGAAGGGATATGAGGTCACTCTTGCACCCAAATCTGTCAGGGGAGAGAGGCACCTGCTGCCTCCCACCCCAACCCCACCTCAAAGAGAAGCAGAGAGGAAGTGTCTAACTGGCCACTTAGAAAGAGGAATGCTATTTCCCGTGTTTTGGCCGAGAAATGACCTGAGGCTATCCCAGAGGTAATCGTGGGCACAAAGACCTGGATTTTGGCCCTGTGGAGAAGGCAGAAAGATGTGAATTGGTGATGGGAGTCGAGGAGCCGAGGCGTGAGAGAGGCAAGGTGGGGGAACACAGAGACAGTGGTGGGCAGCCTCTTCCTGTCTTCACAGTGGAGTCTGCTGCCTGCAGCGATCTTCCGCATCGTTGACTGCATGCTGGGGAGGATGGCCCCCTTGGGCAGAGCGTGGGGAGCCGCGTGGAGCCGCAATCATGAGCTAGCCTCCTGCTCACTTGTCTCTGGGTTCTTACTTCCTGCCCGTGGCAGAAAATAGCCCTGCCCCTATCCCTTATCTCAGCTAAGAGCAGCACCCAGCCCAGCTCAGAGGGCAATGGGACAGGTTCCAGAGGTCCTGAGGAGGTAAGGAACGTGGGCCCCAGATGCGCGCACGGGCTCCCAAAGGCAGAGACACCTTGAGCAACTGGCCAGCTCTGATTTGAGCAGGGTGAGGGTGGAAAGCGTCGTGCCTCTGGTTCCTCTATGTGGATCGTGGTTTCTTCGGCTCTCCATGCCTGTGGGCTGAGGTATTTCTGCATACATCTGGATGAGCATGTGCTCACGGAGGAACCTGGCTCTCTGTGCATCTGTTTAAGATTTTCCCTAAGGCAGGGGACAGGGCTTCTCTTTCTTCTCTGGCCCACGTGGCTCTGCAAATGTAACAGCATGTACACAGACACTGATTTGTATGCTAATGTATGCATGCCTCCGTGTGTCTGTGTATGAAAATGTGTGTCATGATGTGCTTATGTGACATCAGTGAGTGTCCATGTTACCAAGCTGTGTAAGCCTCCACGGCCCTCCTCCTCGCTGGTGAAATGAAACTCCACTGTTCCTTCTTTTTGGAGGTAGCGGCTACGTCCATTTTTTTTCCATCTCCCCCCAAGCCTGGCCTCTTCAGGCAGAATTGGGGAGAGGGTCTGTGTTATCTCTCCCCCACACCTACATCCCTGTTTCCATTTCCTGTTTGCCTCCTCTTTGGCAGTTTTTCCCGTCTTTACCATCTGGCCCGGCACTGGGCCCATACAGCTCCTGAGCCAGGAGCCTGGCGAGGGCTCAGTGAAGGAGCGGAGTGGGGTAAGGGGCCAGGCAGGGACCTTGGCAGCTTGGCCTTCCTCTCTACTAGAAAGAGGTAGCTTTTTCACGGTAAAGAAACCCGAGAACTTCTCTTTGGAATGGGGTAATGAGACCATCACCATTTCCCTTTAAGGAGCAGCTCAAATAGTCTTTCGAATTCTGATTTACTTAAACTTTGAAACTTGTTTTAGCAGAAAGACTTGACATTCTTGGAAAAGAACGCATCCCTGCACTCAGTATCTAGAATGTTCTTCCTGTAAGGTTTTGGTTAAAGATGGTTCTTGCTGTTTTGCTTATAAATTGTTACTGAATTTTTAAATTTTTTTTATTTTTATTAATTTTTTTTTTAGTGATTTAATTTTATTTTGGGTGCACTGGTGTTTTACCTACATGTATGTCTGTGTGAGTGTGTTAGAACCCCTGGAACTGGAGTTTTAGGCAATTTTAGCTGCCATGCGGGTGCTAGGAATTGAACCCTGATCCCTTGGAAGAGCAGCCAGTGCTCTTAACCACTCAGCCATCTCTCCAGCCCCATTAATTTGTAAAATAATGTATATACATGTGTCTGAGAGGAGAGGTGTTGCAGCCCCTGGAGCTGGAGTTCCGCATTGTGACAGGAGTGTTAGGAAGTGAACCCCGGTCCTCTGCAAGATGGGTACCTGCTCTCACCCGCCTTCTCCCCAGCCCCCTTCCTGAAACTGTAATGCAAGACCTGGTGTCCTGGGAGTCAGTGAAGAGCAGGGCAGAAGCGTGGTAATGGTCAGGCAGTTACTGTCGCACTAAGAGTAAGCTAATAATTTGCTGGATGGAAACCATTTTCCTTCCAAGTGGCCAAAGAGACTCACTCAGGGGACCTAGGTGCAGGGCTGAAGTGTGTGTCTAAGAATGTGGTCCTCACCCTGGGGCTTTACCATCCATCTAGTTGGGGGAAAGGATAAATGCACAAAGACAGCAGGAGGGTTAAAAGCATTTAAAAGTAGCAAGCCAAATGGCTTTTTTCTTTTGGAGAGCAGGTGTCCCTTTTGGCTCAGGTTGGCCCTCACTCCTGAGTTCCTCCTGTCTCAGCCCCCTGAGTAGCTGGGACTTCAGGAATGTACACTACTCTTTGCTTAAGTGCTTAAGTACTTCAGGGAAAATTGTGACGAGGCAGATCTGTGTGTGGGAGAGAGATGGCTGTATGCTACCAGTGTGCTGAGAGGATTGAAGAGGAAGTGGGTTATTGAAATGAAAGTCAATTGGACAAATGAGGAAATGAAATGTTACCCATGGGCATAGATTTCATATGGGCAATTAGAAAAGACCAGGTACTCTCTGCAGCCAGAACCCATTCACAAACCCTCTATTCACTCCTGCTGGGAGCCGCAGTGGGCAGCTTGGACTTTGGAGCTGGGCGGTCCGAGATTTGGGTTGTGCCTCCTCTCGTCAGAGACCAGCATTGTGCTTTTGTTCTCTTTCCTATAACAACGAGGACAAACACCTACCTCAAAGAAAGAACTGTGGGGAGAGCCCGGCAGTGGCGCACGCCTTTGATCCCAGCACTTGGGAGGCAGAGGTAGGAGGATCTCTGAGTTCAAGGCTAGCCTGGTCTACACAATGAGTTCCAGGACAGCCAGGGCTACACAGAGAAACCCTGACTTGAAAAACCAGAAGAGAAAGAAAAAAGAAAGAACTGTGGGGAGGGTTAGAGACTACATGGTGTAGCCTGGCTGGGGTGGGGTGACTGCCGCCTTCCCACTCCGCCTGTATTGGTGCTGAGGTGACAAAGAGGAATGAAGCCCCTGCTCCTCAGAGCTCACAAGCTAAGGCGAGGGGATAAGAACTGGCCGTCACCATACATGTAGGAAGAGCTGAGGTGTCCGTGTCTGTGCTGCTCAGATCCTGGGTAACACATGGAAGGCGCTAAGCCACAGCTGCCCTGCTGAGGAAGACAGAGACAGGAAGGGGGTCAAACAGCCTTGAGTAAAATGACCGGGTTCATCAGGTAGCGAATGAGAGGAAGGACATTTCAGGTTGAAGACACGCAGCTGCCAAGCAGAGGCCTGAAGGCACAGGGCACGTGCAGAACTCGCTGGCAGAGGACACAGGGTGAGGGGTGACATCTGCTTTGGTAACTAGTATCAGTATCTGTGGGATCCCAGCATCTCCGACCCCTTCAGATGCCAGCGTTTGTGGAGGAGTAGATCATACACACATTGTCCTGTCTGTCTCCAAGCCCAGGTCAGGAACGTCCTTCCCGTAACCCCAGCACTTGGGAGATAGATGCTGGAGGAGCAGGAATTCAAGGCCACCCTTGGCTACTCAGTTTTGGAACAGTCTAGGTCACCTGAGACCCTGTGTCCTCCCCTTCTCCCCCCAGACTGTCTATCTCTAGGTTGCTTATAACCCATGCAATATAATGTAAATAGATTTTGTTGTTTTTATTCCATTTTCTCTTTGTATGTGTGGATGCGCATGAACACACGCACGCAGACACTGAGCCCTCCTGAATTTGTGTTTTGAAAAGGGGTTCCCTATATAATCCTATATATTACATATTATATAAGCCTATTATATTTCCCTATATAATCCTATATATTACATATTATATAAGCCTATTATATTTCCCTATATGAGCCCAGCCTATTATACAGCCTCAGCCTCTGGAATTACAGGCCTGTGCCCCACACCCTACTTTAAAAATTTTTTTAAGATTTATTTTTATTTTATGTGTATGGATGTTTTGCCTGCATGTGTGACTGTGTACCACATGTGTGCACTGCCCATGGAAGCCAGAGAGGCATTAGATACCTTGAAACTGGAGTTAACAAACAGTTGTGAGCTGCATGTGGGTGCTGGGACTCGAACCCAGATCCTCTTGAAAAGCAGCAAATACTTTTTTAAAAAGGTTTGTGTTTGTTGTTTTGTTTTAGACAGAATCTCTTCATGTAGCTCTGGCTATCCTGAAATTTGCTGTGTAGACCAGGCTGGCCTTGAACTCATTGATATAGGGTCTTCTTCTATAGCCCAAGGTGGCCTTGAACTTGGGATCTTCCTGCCTCAGCTTCCTGAGATTACCACCATGCTAGACCTTGTAACTGCTTCCATACTGTAGTTTTTGAGGGAAAACTGACAAGGGGGAAAATCTATATTTTTTTCTGTGATGGGGTCCTGCTGTGTTTCCACAGTTGTTTTTAACCTCCTGTGTTCAAGTGATAATCCTGCCTCAGCATCCCAAGCAGCTAGATGAAATCTGTTCGGTTGGCTTTGCTTCTGAGACAAAGCCTCACTCTGTAACCTAGGCAATCTTCTTGACAATCTTCCTAAATGCTGGGATTACAAGTATGAGGCTCCACACCTGGCCTTTTATTGAGACAGCGTCTCATGTAGCCCAGGCTGGCCTCTGCCCCTCAAGTGCTGTGTTTACAGACAGGGTCACCAAGCCTGGCTCAGATGCAGCAATCTCTTTCCCTCCCTCTCTCTCCAGGGCCTTACACACTGCAGCCCAAGCTGGCTTCAAATTCCTTTAAAAATATTTTTAGATTTATTCATTTTATGTCATGTGTGAGTGTTTGGCTTGCATGTATATATGTGTACCATGTGTGTGCTTGATATCCACGGACCTCAGAAGAGAGCATTGGAGCCCCTGAAACTGGAGTTGTAATCCCATCATGTGGGTGCTGGCAACCCACATCCTCTGTGAGAGTGGCCAGTGCTCTTAACCACGGAGCCATTTCTCTGGTCCCCGGTTTAGCTTTTTTTTTTTTTTTTTTTTTCCGAGACAGGGTTTCACTGTGTTGCTTTTCGCCTTTCCTGGAACTTGCTCTGTAGACCAGGCTGGCCTCGAACTCACAGAGATCCACCTGGCTCTGCCTCCCAAGTGCTGGGATTAAAGGCGTGCGCCACCACCGCCTGCCTGGTTTAGCCTTTTCAGTGCTGGGACTACAGACATCTACTACCAAGCCCCAGTTTAGACCCATTTGAAAAAAAAAAAAAAAAAAAGACAGATCTGGCTGTATAGTCTGAACTGGTCTGGAACCTGCTATGTAGACGAGGCTGCCCTTGAACTCACAGAGATCCTGCATTGGTCTACCAAGTGTGCCACCATGCCTGGCCAGATGCATTTATTTATTTATTTATTTGTTTGTTTATTTAGGTTTTTCTTTTTTCTTTTTCTTTCTTTCTTTCTTTCTTTCTTTCTTTCTTTCTTTCTTTCTTTCTTTCTTTCTTTCTTTCTTTCTTTTTTTTTAAAAAAGTTTTCTGAGACATGGTTTCTCTGTATAGCTTTGCACCTTTCCTGGAACTCACTCTGTAGACCAGGGTGGCCCTGAACTCACAGAGATCCACCTGCCTCTGCCTCCCGAGTGCTGGGATTAAAAGCATGCACCACTACCACCTGGCCCAGATGCATATTTTTAAAAACATTTATTTTCTCTGAGGTTACTCGAACATATATTGTATGCACGGAACCCACACATGGAGGGCTGACTGTATTTTCATTATTGAAATTGGTATTTTATGGAGGAAATATTTATTCCCTTTTAACTTTTTTACTATGCTTCTGACAAATTTTGAGATGCTGGAGAGAGAACAAAAAAAAGCCCCCATAAATTTGATATAGTCAGGCTTACAACTTAGTGCCGTAAGCTAATTTATTTATTGAAATGCTGGACCTTGGGGCTGGAGAGACGGCTCAGAGGTTAAGAGCACTGGCTGCTCTTCCAGAGGACCTGGGTTCAATTCCCAGAACCCATGTCAGTGTCTCACAACTGTCTGTAACTCCAGCTCCAGGAGATTCTGGATTCTGGCCTCCTCCGTCACTGCACTGAATGCACACACACACAACACACACACACACACACACA